ACAGTTTAACAAGTTTAACATTAGAAGCTGGTAACATTCAGTAAGTCAAACAAGGTGACTTGCAACAAAGGCTTGATTTAGCAAACATTCCTTTTCCCTCCAGTAGGTTTTTAGTAACTTTACATATCAATTAGTAACCTGTCTGTCTTTGAGCCAGCAACCTTGCTGTGTTACAATTCTTATCTTGCAACAGAGATTCAATAGCCTGGGGAAATTTTCCTGTCCTTTGCAAGGTCAATATTTGAAATTGCAAGGTTTTGGAAAACCAAGCCCTGTGAAGTACATTTGCTTTATGAATCCTCTACACAAATCACCTCAAAAGAATGAGAATTGGAGATTTTCTTATTACTCATGATAGAGGCCAGAAGGCAATGGAATAATATGTTCAGAGTTCTGAGGGACACTGTCTCTCAAGAGTGAGACTAAAACAAAAATGAATGTGTAAGTATCTCCTTGAAGTTAGGGGAAGAAGATCCTGGGAAGTTTCTAGCAAGCAGGGACTGGTAAATGCAAATTAACAGGGCAGGACTCATTCCAACCACTTTCTGGAGTGTAAAGTGTCATTGATACTATCCTTCCACAGAGGGTTGTCTTTATGTGTACTAAAATAAAATTTTAAAGAATGGGATTATGTTCATTCACATGTAACCTCTGCCCTAAAACCAGTTTTCTGTGTAAGTTCCATAATTCTCCAGCTGTGTCATCACCTGCCACAGAGGTTTTCTGCAACCAGCTTCATTGACTGAAGAAGTAGTAAGGTTCTTAGTTTCTCCTTCCTGAGCCTTAGTATGCTCCTGCAAACAGTGGGGATGAAACTTCCCGAAGCTATTGTGAGAACTGCATGGAATAATGTATGCCTTTCCCTTTCCTGTCTGTTTTTTATTTTTAAGTTACTTGGAGTCCAGCCTGGCATGTTATTTGCAGGGTGATGAATCAGTTTAAAGGGAAGTCTCCGTCCTTCCCTTAGTGTTTGCTGTCCTGCGTCCCAGCCAGCTCCCTGACATGGTTGCAGTGCTCATGGAATTCCAGGTCCCCCTTTGAGAAGCCTTTTGTAAGCTCTTGCCCGGTGAATTAAAGCAAGCATCAGGGCTCCATCTTTTTCCCTTGTGATTCCTCTTCTAGCCATGTACAATGCCTGCCGGGATGTGGAGGCCCCCTCAAGTAATGTCAAGGCCCTGGGACTCCTGTGTGGGAAGGATGCTGATGCCTGCAATGCCACCAACTGGATCGAGTACATGTTCAACAAGAACAACGGACAGGCGCCGTTTACCATCACTCCCATTTTTTCAGGTAGAGATAATCCTCTTTAAGTTTGGTGTATTTATGATGGTGTTTTAAAGCAAAGGAATCATAAGCTGCAATAGGAAGGTAAACAAATTCAGCTAACTAGTTTCTAGACTACCTTTCCAGTAAGAGAGGTAACTAGAGCATGTATCCTGCCCTGATTACTTAAGGGGGGCTGGGAGTGGGGCTGGGGGAGGAGAAAGAATGGCCTTTAGATATTGCTATATAATTGAAAGAATAAGCTGGTTTGTTTTTAATGAGCGGAGAGGACAAACAGGGTTACAAAGGTTTTTTCCCCCATGGCTCTGCTATAGTATTAGCCTACCTCCTCAGAAGGGAGATGAGACATGATTGAGGGTTTGCCTTGGTATGTGATATACTCAAATATTAGTGACAAAACTATGCACAAAGCTATTGAGGTCATTTAAAATTCTACAGGACAAAGCAGCAAAACATACTTCGATGAAACAAAAACCTCCAGTTCTTTTCATTCTTCCAGTTATGTTATATATTTCAGTGTGCTTATCATTGGGTTTAAATATAATTTAAAACAAAATGTTTAATTTTTTTTTATTGAAATCTTCACTCAACACAATTCTTTTCTGTAGATTTTCCAGTCCATGGGATGGAGCCCATGAATAATGCCACCAAAGGCTGCAACGAGTCTGTAGATGAGGTCACAGGGCCATGCAGCTGCCAGGACTGTTCTGTTGTTTGTGGCCCCAAGCCCCAGCCCCCACCCCCTCCTATCCCCTGGAGGATATTTGGCTTGGACGCCATGTATGTTATCATGTGGATCACCTACATGGCATTTTTGCTTATGTTTTTTGGAGCATTTTTTGCAGTGTGGTGCTACAGGTAAGTGGTTTTGTTTGTCATCCAGGGCAAGAAGAGCAAAATTACCCAAGTGGCACTTTTAGCTTTCACTTGGCAGACCATGTTTAATTAGAACAGGAAACGTACCTGCATTAATACCATTCCATGGGTTGCTTATGTCCTGCAACTAGTAGAAAAAGTCCTGTTTTTCTACTAAATCTAAACATCTGAAGTTAATTTTGCTGACTTATTAAAAAAGATGCATGATTTAAAGCACCATGCATTAACCACCCATTCTTCAGAAAGTCATAAATGTAATTAAATGCAAAATTGTCATTCTTTTAGACATTTGCATCCTGATTTAGAACAGTTTTTTTTTTTTTTTTTTCTTCCATTTTTAAAAAGATGACCGGTAAAGGGATCTTAATCCTTGACTTGGTGTTGTCAGCACCACACTCTCCCAAGTGAGCTAACCGGCCATCCCTATATAGGGATCCGAACCCGTGGCCTTGGTGTTATCAGCACCACACTCTCCCAAGTGAGCCACAGGCCAGCCCTATTTTTTTTTTTTTTAACTTATTTTAAAATAACTTTAGGCTTACCAGAAAGTTGAAAAAATGGTACAGTTTATATATGCGGGTACTTCAGGAAGTTGTTTGTGGAAAAATAAAATTAAAAGATAATACAAATCTTTCCATGAACTTTTTGAAGTACTCTTGTATATTCTTTACCCAGCTTCCCCTAATGTTATAGCTTATATAACTCATAGTACAATTATCAAAACTATGAAAATAACATTGATATAATATTATTGACTACACCGTGGACTTTATTCAGATTTCACCAGGTTTTTCTCTAATGCCCTTTCCTGTTTCAGGATCCCATATTACATTCACTTTTTGTGTTTTATTAGTCTCCTCCATCTGTGACAGATAGTTCCTCAGTTTCTCCTTTTCTTTTATGGCCTTGACCCTCTTGATGAGTACTGGTCAGTTAATTTGTGGCATGTCCTTCAATTTGGCTCTGTCTGATATTTTCTCATGATTAGGTTGAGGTTCTGAATCTTTGACAAGAATATCACAGAAGTGATGTTTGTCTTCCTCAGTGCATTGTGTCCAGGGTACATGATGTCAATATTTCTCATTGCTAGGGGTGTTAATGCTGATCATTTGGGTAAGCTGGTGTCTGCTGGGTTTCTCCACTGTGACATTACTGTTTTTCCCTTTGTAATTGATATATATCTTGGGGGTTGGAGGGAGAGACACTTTGAGACTGTGCTAATGCTTTGTTTCTCCTGAAGACTCGCTCACTGATTTTAGTGTCCACTGGTGGGCCTTGTCTGCAACAGTTATTACTGAGGTGTTTGCCTAATGGTGATTTTGTTTTCCCTCATTTCCTCTGCATTAACTACTTGAACTTCTGTACAAACAGCAGTCCCTTTTCCCTCACTTATTTATTCGATTATTTACATCATGGACTTTTTATTTGTTCTGTGGTCTGTATTCAATACTGTCACTTATTTTGTTGCTTAACTTTTCACTGTTCTGGCCTTGGGGAGTGCCTTCTGCCTGGCTCCTGCATTCCTTTGACATGCCCCCATCCCCAGGTGCATCTTGTATTCTCCCTGCCCCCACCCTGGAATCAGCCTCCTCTGCACAGAGCCCTACTTTCTTTTATTGGGGAAGGTTATTTAGAAACCAAGGTTTGGGCACTAGGTGTGCTTATTGCACTGGGGAGAATAGTGTGTTTTTAAAGGACTTAAAAGTTATAGATGAGGGCTACCAGGTGAAAATATCCTGTTTTTTTAATACCTTCTTAAATTTTCTCCTGCGACTGGTGAGCAGAGGCACCCAGAACAAGGGAACTTAGGGGAGAAAAAGCAACGATTAGGGAGAAAGAAGGCGGGATGAGGAAGTAAGCTTTTAATGGGATTATAGGAATGTCCAAATAACAGTCTCATTCTGATGAAGTCCACAAATACTACTTACATGCTTTTATTTTTCAGAAAACGGTATTTTGTCTCCGAGTACACTCCCATTGATAGCAATATAGCTTTTTCTGTGAATGCTGGTGACAAAGGTAGGCATATCTGTACATAGATAAAAGAGTTTGGATTGTGGTGGCACTAGAGTGTTTGTTTTCTCAGTAAATGTTTGTTCGCCTATTCTGGGTGAGGGAGGCAGTGCACTAGTGCCAGGGACACAGCTGTGATCTAGACAGACGTGGTCCTTGCCTTTGTGGCACTGCTGTCTAGTCGGGGTGGCAGGTCAGAACCAAGTGATTGATAGTAGCAATGAAATACAAGGGTACTTCAAAACTTTGTAAAAAAATAAATAAAATTGAAAGAGAATGCGAATCTTTCCATGAACTTTTTGAAGTACCCTTGTAGTTATGGGCTGAGATAAGAGCTACGAGGGCACTAATGTAGCAGGCTGAGAGCAGGAGCAGCAGGGCAGGGTTGAGGGGAGCTGCTGGAGACACAGTGGTCACAGAGGCTCTGCGGAAGCTCATGTGTGACCTTTGTGGGGTGGGGGTAGTGTTCACTGTGAGCGGCCAGGAAGGGCAACTTCACCAAGCAGATGGGTAGCTGAGGGCCGGGGGATCTGGCGCGGTCTGCGCGTGGGCTCTCTTGCCACCATGTGTAGTAGCAGCTAACGCTTTCCCTGTTCCGACTTTCAGGAACAGCTTGGCTCCTAACCTCCACCCTCCCTTCCTCTCCTGCTCTTCCAGGGGAGGCGTCCTGCTGCGACCCAGTCGGTGCAGCATCTGAGCGCTGTTTGAGGCAGTTCTTCACACAGTGGGGATCTTTCTGTGTCCGAAACCCTGGCTGTGTTATTTTCTTCTCACTGTTCTTCATTGCTGCGTGTTCTTCTGGCCTGGTGTTTGTTCGGATCACTACCAATCCAGTAGACCTCTGGTCAGCCCCCGGCAGCCAGGCTCGCCTGGAAAAAGAATACTTTGACGCGCACTTCGGGCCTTTCTTCCGGACAGAGCAGCTCATCATCCGGGCCCCCCACACAGACAGGCACACGTACCAGCCCTACCCATTGGGAGCAGACGTGCCCTTTGGACCTCCGCTTGACATACAGATTTTGCACCAGGTAATCTGTTGACAGAAATAAGTCAATCCAGGAGAGCTGGATGCTGGCTTTCACATGTTGACCAATTCTACTTGATGTGAATTTGGGGCTGAATGTATATCTTGAAAATCTTACAGTGTAGAAGCAAAGGTGCTTTTAACTTACTTTTCAAGAAAGCAAATGAAAGATGTTGAACTTAATGAAAAATGTACCATTGCCCACTTTTGTGTTTACTTCAGGTAGTAGATCTTGCCTTTTTCTTGAAATTGAGATGAACTAAAGACTTAAGTAGCATTTCTCCATTGAAGCAGAGTGTATTTACGAGGAAGTCAGTTTAGGAATGTGCACACTTTCCCCTGGTAACTGAAAGTATATGGAAGGACCCAAAGGAATGATGGCCTCTGTGTCATCCTGGGAGCTGAGGAAGGGGCTGCTGGATCGTTACCGATCCAACTTGCAGGAATGAACTTATTTTATCATTACCTGAATGTGGGCTCCCAGCCTGCATTTGGTGAGAGGTGCATTTGGGACGAGATCTGTCCCATTTCTCTTACATAGACGTTGAAACCTTCCCATTGTCTCCTGTCACATCTGCCCTGGAGAACTGTAGCTGTGAATAAATTATATCCACTTCTTTTTTAATGGATGATTGTACAATTACATGGTTTTTCCTTTAAGGGTTGCTCTTCTCTACAGAAAGTCTGAAATCTTGAAAAACATCAAAATGGCCCTAAAACTTTAATAGAATCTCTTCTCCACCCTTTGACTGTTGTCTGTTGCTTTTTCCCAACTTGTTGGAGAAGACAGACAGCATACCTACTTACCTCCCGGAGTGTATTCTCTATTAGGAAATGTATGGAAATGCATGTAAATGATTGCAGTTTGGAGCAAGGCCATGGGTGGTATGGTGTTGGAGAAGGGAGTGTTGAGAAGACCAGGGATCGTGTCATTCTCCCCTCTGTGGCCCTGTTGGTTGCTGCTGTGGAAGGGGTGGGACAGGAGATGGACATGTGTCCTACCTTGAGATCTCTTCTGGTCATAGTGTCCCCTCCCCGTTTCTCTGGACCCCACTAACCAGGGTCTTCATTCCCAGTTTGCTATAAAGAATGGGCCTTTGGCTTCACCAGATATTTTACCCTAGTGTTCCTTAATTGTCTCATCCATCTTAGGAAGTATTTTCCCCAAATATTCTTTATCTTCCGACTCCTCAGGGCAATACTGTTTAGTCAAGATCTGAGAGAAATCTGATGTTTTCTGGGTTTAGTTATTTTTAAAATCTTCTTCCAGGTTCTTGACTTACAAATAGCCATTGAAAACATTACTGCATCTTATAACAACGAGACTGTGACACTTCAAGACATCTGCTTGGCCCCTCTCTCACCATATAACAAGAACTGCACCATTATGAGTGTGTTAAATTACTTCCAGAACAGTCATTCCATATTGGACCACGAAATAGGGGACGACTTCTATGTGTATGCTGATTACCACACACACTTTCTGTACTGCGTTCGGTAAGTGGCGGGAGACAGTCATTCATGTATCTGGCCAATATTTGAGCATTTTCTGTCGCTAGACACCGTTCAAGGTACTAGAGACCCAGTGGTGAGCAAACAGAGGAAGACAGACGAGGAACGAGTAGATATATGTATGCTGTCGTGTCAGGTGGAGAGGAGTGCTATGAGGAGAAAAATAAGGCCAGGCAAAGGGATGGGAGGATGGCTTTGGGGTGAAGACCTGCATAAAGAGAAAGGAAAAGAGGGAGCCGCTGGGTATCACATCGAACTGTGTTCCAAGCAGTACAAGCAGCAAGTGCAAAGGCCCTGGGGTGGGAGCATTTGTGATGTGTAATCCAGGAACAGCAGGTACCTTTGACTCATGCAACCCCACCCCCCACCTAAGATTTAAAGAGAGAAGCCTATTGTGCTTTTTCTTGTCTTTCAAATATAACCTTACATCATGATATTGAATTGTTTTTAAAACATGCAGCTTCCCCTTGAGGAGAGGGGGCAGGATTGGCATGCAGGGTTGGATTGTAGTTTTAAATCGGAGGGCCCTGAGCCACCTCCCCTGGGAGGTATATATAGATGGGTAGAGTGCATTTATAATTGGGATTAGTAACCAAAGGAAGCTGTGCTCGGGTGACCTATGAGGGGATCTTTAGGTTTGTCCCCATAGCAGGAAGAGTGGCATAGCGTCAGATGGGCCTGCCGTCCCTGAGTGCTCTGGGCCTGGCCTGGGAGCAGCTGTTCAGCCAGTTGATCAGCCACAGTGGCTGTTACTTCATCACGGGAACAGGCATAATTCCTTGTCTTCTGTGAGTGCACTGCTCAACTAATCACATCTCAAGAGCCAAGTACTCTGATTTCTGCTTCTGAAGGACTCTGGTGACCTTACATTCTGTCTGTTACTGGAACGTGACCATTCAGGCAGTTGGGACATCGGCCTGAATAGTCATGTTTCAAGGACATTGCCTCCAAAAACATGAGTGGCATTCATAAAACAAATCCGTGCCTATATACCCTACACCAGTGTTCTCAACAGGGTAGATGGTACAATGGAGCCATGGGTAATTTGAAGGAAAAAAATTAATATTATATAATTTTTATATTTAGGGAAAACAACATTTACTTTCTGTTGTTTTACAAAATAAAAATCAACAAAAGTTTTGGTGGGGTGGGATGTGAGACTTGTGTCAACAGGGTAGATGGTACAATGGAGCCATGGGTAATTTGAAGGAAAAAAATTAATATTATAAAATTTTTATATTTAGGGAAAACAACATTTACTTTCTGTTGTTTTACAAAATAAAAATCAACAAAAGTTTTGGTGGGGTGGGATGTGAGACTTGTTTTTTATCAGAGGGTCATGATCTACACAGTGGGGGCGTGCTGCTGTGAGCAGCTCCCTTGCGTGGTAGGGCCTGGGTTTGGTTGGCAGTTACACTTGTGTGTTTCCTTTGTGACCTCAGGCCCATCCCTGGCTGTCACCTCTTTCTTCACCCTCCAACTTCTGGACTCTTTCACTGGAATGTCCTGCAGGAGGGGCAGACTTGGCCTGCACAGAACCAGGCACAGACCTGCTGTTTTGCCCGTGTCGTTTAATGGCATCACCATCTGCCAGCTACGCATACATGAGGCATTCTCCCTGCATTCTTCCCTATCCTCACCTTCCTCATGTAGTTCTTGCGATTTTACACTCCGGATGATCTCGCAGATACATGACATGGATGCAGCATTCTTCCCTATCCTCACCTTCCTCATGTAGTTCTTGCGATTTTACACTCCGGATGATCTCAGATACATGACATGAATGCACAGTTGGCTGTGGGTTGAGGGACTCCGCTGCCAGCCGCAGGTTACACCCTCCGAGGACTAATGCTGTCATCCGAGAACCTGCCAAAGCACCAGCGTGCTCTGGGTGACGATCTGTCCTGAGATGCTGGGTCCCTCCCTGCTGACCACCTGGCCGTCCTTACTGCGCTGCTGGTTGTCTCTTGCCTATGCCATTGCACAAACTCTTGACTGGTCTCCCTGCTTCCTGTTTCTTTCCCGCTTCTTCCACTGGCCACCAGTTTATCTTTGTAAAATAACTCATGGCATCCCTTTTCCAGAAATCTCTAATTGTTCCCCAGGGCTTCCAGGATAAAAATCCAAACGATTTAGCATGGCTCTGAATCCTGTTTTTCCCCACTGTCTGTCACTTGCCCTTTCCAGCCTTGTCCCCTCCCTCAGTAGCCCCTCTGTGTCATTCCTGAACCACCATCCTCCTGCTGTCATCCCACCTCCCGCGCCTGCTCTCTCTCTCCCTCCGTCTCTTCCTACAGTTGTAATTGTATGGAACACCCTCTTTTCTTCCCTCTCTGGTGAATTCTCCCTTGTCCTTCCAAGGTCTGTTCTTCACAGGTCTCCTGCTTTGGGCTGCAGTTTCCTCTTGTATCACTTGCTCCCTCCTCTGTGCCCACATAGCACATATGCCTTGTGCCAGTGATCGCATCAGGCTGTACCTGTCTGCCTCTTGCCCACTGGTTCTGAGTTCCCAAAGGCAGGTGCTCCCCTGTACTATCAACTAAGGAACCTCAGGGCCCACGTTGTCCTTAAAATGTTTACTGTGTAAGTGTTTAGGTCTCTGTGATATCTTGATTCTTGTTCTGATTGGGAGATGTTTTCTAAACTTTTTGGCAGGGCTCCCGCCTCTCTTAATGATACAAGTGTGCTCCATGATCCTTGTCTGGGGACATTTGGTGGGCCCGTGTTCCCGTGGCTTGTGTTAGGAGGCTATGATGGTAAGTAAGAGAAGCTTTTACTTTTCCTGTTAAATGAAGTTGTCTTCTGCCAAGTGGTAATTATGAAGATTTCATAAATCGGGCAGTCTTATTAATTCCCTATCTTAAATCCCAAATACAATATCTCGTTTGGCTTTGGGTTTGGGTTTGGGTTTTATTCTGGATTTAAAAGAAGTGGATCATGTTAACCTTTTTTAGGTCATACGTGCCTTTGAGAAGGTGTTGAAGGCTAAGGAAATTTCCCCAGAATAATGCAATTGTGCACATCTACAGATGTTAGTTTCAAGGAGGCCATGGAACCCTGAAGCTCATGTGTAAAAGAACCTTTAGGGATTCCACGGCCCCAGGTTAAGAACACCTGTAATGGGGAAGGGATAATATGTGAGGAATGTGGAAAAAGAAACCCAGTTGATGGATTTCTTTTTTCCTTCTTCACCAATCAGTTAAGAATTTGGACACTTTTGTAGTGGGAAGGGCAGTTGGTTTGCTCTTGCTGGTTCCTGTAGCACCTTGGAACAGATGTCACTAATAGGGTGACAATTCATGTGGCACCTCTGGCATCTGAACAAGCTCAACAGGTTTTTCTCCAGCCAGTAAAGAGGCCACAGAGGTTTTCTCTTCACCAGTGGCAGCGGCGAAGCTGGGAACTGCATTCAAAATTTATTCTGCCTCATATAATAGCATGTCATTTCTACTAGGTGGGAAAGGATAATTTCGGCAACTGGCTAGCCATAGGAAAAAAATTAAATTTGATCTCCACCTTATTCCTTCCACCACAATAAATTCCAGATAAATCAAAGATTGAAATGCAGGAAGTGGAAGTGAAAGTGTTAGAGAACTAGAAGAAAACACAGGAGGAATTTTTTAAAATAATGGAGAAGGCATTTCTAAGCAAGACACAAAACTCAGAAGCCACAAAAGGAAAGACTGAATTTACTACATGAAAACTTTAAATTCATGTGTGGAGAACAAGTACCATACAGTTATGGGGGGGGACTGGACAAAAAATATATATACATAACAGATAGCATTTCCTTAATATATAGGGAGCCCTTGTAAAAAAAAAAGAAAGAAAACAAAACAAAAGGTCAACAACCCAATAGAAAAGCGGGTGAGTCCACATGAAAGTTAACAAAAGAAGAAAACAAGTGGCTTTTAATTATATGGGGGAAATGCTCAAAAACAAAAGGTCAACAACCCAATAGAAAAGCGGGTGAGTCCACATGAAAGTTAACAAAAGAAAACAAGTGGCTTTTAATTATATGGGGGAAATGCTCAACTTGTTGATGAAGTGCATCTCACTTCAGTCTTTCTACATAACAATTTGGACTGAGAGTTTGATAAAACCCTGTGTTGGTGAAAATATGGGAAATTCTTCATTGTTGAAATAGAATGTAAGCTCTGAGAAGGCAGATATCTTTATCTCTTTTGTTTGGTACCTGACATAATGCCTGGCACCAAGTAGGTCTTAGTAAGTATTTTGTTGAACAAAGGAATGAAAAATAGTACAGCCTGTTTGGAAGGCAGTTTGGGAGAAGTTATCAAAATTAGAATTGCACGTAGTTTTTGATTCAGTGATTATACTTACGAGAATTGATTCTACAGATATATATTTCACACATTAAAGATATTTATAGGTTATTCTTTGTAGTAATTTTGTTTGCAATAAAAATTTGCAAAAATGTTCATCAATTGGAGGTCGGTTAAATTATATTAGGAAATACTTTACAGCAGAAAAAGAATAAGGAAGGTCTTTATTTACTAAAATGGAGCAGTCTCCAAGGCATAAAATTTTTAAATGTAATGTGCAGAACAGTGTATTACTATTTGTGTAAGAAAGAAGGAAAGGGAGAAATTTGTGCATAGAATATCTTTGGAAAGATTCACAAATGGTCACAGTATGAGGAGGAGAACTAAGAGAATGGAATTAGGGAAGGAGAGAGAATTTTCACTGAACACTTTTCTGCTCTGTTTGAAATTTTTACCATGCACTTTGTAGTTAAAAAGAAAAAAAAAATAATAAGTTGCTCTTCCTGAATGGTAACTGTACCTACTTCAGATGGAGAATCCTCCTATATGCCCATTTTGTTTATCCATTCATCAGTTGATGCACATTTGGGGTTGTTTCCATCTTTGGCTATTATGAATAATACTGCTACAACCATTCATATACGAGTTTTTGTGTGGATGTAAGTTTTCAGTTGTCTTGGGTAGATACCTAGAAGTAGAAGTCTACCTTTAAGGTTTGAAAAATTGCCAGACTGTTTTCCAAAGTGGCTTTACATAACCACCAGCATTGTATAAAGCTTCCAATTTCTCCATATCCTCACCAACACTTGTTATTATCTGACTTTTTCATTCTAGCCATCACAGTGGGTATGAAGTAGTTTTGATTTGTGGTTTTGATTTGCATTTTCCTGATGACTCACAAATTTGAACATCTTTTCATGTGCTTATTGTCCATTAGTACATTCGCCTTGGAGAAATGTCTATTCTTATCTTTTGCCCATTTTTCAGATGAGTTATTTGTGTATTATTATTGAATTATAAGAATTCTTTATATATTCTAGATACAGGTCTTTTATCAGATATATGATTCCCAAATATTTTCTCCTGTTCTCTTGGTTGTTTTTTTGTTTTCTTGATGATGTCCTTTGAAGCACAAAAGTAGTTAATTTTGATGAAGTCCAGTTTATCTGTTTTTTTTCTTTTGTTGTTCTTACTTTTGGTATCATATCTAAGAAACCATTGCCTGATCCAAGGACATGGAGATTTATGCCTATGTTACTTTTGGTATCATATCTAAGAAACCATTGCCTGATCCAAGGACATGGAGATTTATGCCTATAAGAGTTCTTCTAAGAGTTCTATAATTTTAGCTCTCACATTTAGATCTTTGATCAGTTGAGTTCATTTTTGTGTATGGTAAGGGTCCAACTTCATTCCTTTGCATGTAGCTATTCAGTTGACCTAGACCATTTGTTTAAAAGATTATTCTTTCCTGCATTGACTGGTCTTGGCATCCTTATTGAAAATTAGATGACCACAGACACATGGTATGTTTCTGGACTCTCAATTCTGTTCCTTTGATCTCTATGTCTGTCCTTGTACCAGTACTATACTTTCTAGATTACCATTGTTTTATAGTAAGTTTTGAAATTGGGAAGACTTTGTTCTTCTTGAAAAAGAAGTTTTGGCTATTCTGGACCCCTTGCAATTCCATGTAAACTTTAGAATTAGCTTACAGTTTCTATAAAGAAATCGGCTGGGATTCTGATAAGTATTGAGTTGAAACTGTAGATCAAATTTTAAAATTTTGTTCCATGAGGGTATATATCTTTATTATAATACACAGGTTGAGTATGCTTTATCCAAAAAGCTTGGGACAAGAAGTGTTTCAGATTTTGGATTTTTTTTTGGATTTGGGAATATTTGGGAACATACCAGTTAAGCATCTCTAATCTGAAAATCCAAAATCCGCCAATGAGCATTTCCTTTGAGCATCATGTTGGCACTCAAAAATTTTTGGATTTTGGAGCATTTTGGATTTTGGATTTTTGGTTAGGAATGCTCAACCTGTACTTCATTTAGAAATCTTTTTTAATAAAAAACAAATAGGTAGAACATGAACCAATTTTAAATTTGTTCTAAACCTGGTAGACAATTCCACATCTCTAGAACCTTTGCTGTAATCTCAGTGTATCGCCTTCTCGTCTCTGTGTAGAAGACCCTAATGCAGGATGAAGTTTAAATAAGCATGGCCTTCGTATCATGAAAGTTGGGAAGCAGTCTCTTACTTAGCTGTCACTGAGTTTTAACTGAACGAATAAAATGTTGCTTACTTTTTAGGTTTATTAATTTTGTGAAAAACTACAATAATCCAAATCTGACCATTTCTTTCACTGCTGAGCGAAGTATTGAAGATGAGCTAAATCGTGAAAGTGACAGTGACATCTTCACGGTTGTCATTAGCTATGCCGTCATGTTTCTGTATATTTCCCTGTTCTTGGGACACATCAAAAGTTGTCGCAGGCTTCTGGTAAGTGGTGTGTGTGTGTCAGTTGTGTGTGTGTGTGTGACATGGCAATGCACAACATGACATCACATTTTTGCCTCTACTTGTTCTTAATTCATTATGTCTAAAACTGCGTTAAATTCCCTTGTGGGTATTTTTTTTTTGACCAGTAAGGGGCATGCAACCCTCAGCACGGTGTGGTCAGCACTACGCTCAGCCAGTGAGCGCACCGGCCATCCCTATATAGGATCTGAATCCACGGCCTCAGCGCTACCAGCGCCACACTCTTCTGAGTGAGCCACGGGGATGGCCCCCCCTGTGTTTTAATTATATGCAACATTTCTGTTTCCTGCATCTGTTTTCTTCAGTTCTGATTTTTTGGTTTATCTTAAAGTTTATTCACATAAACCTGTTTTTTCTGTTTTGTCTATTCCTTCCCCCAAGAAAACAAGCTCATAAAACATGTTGCCAGGGAAGACCTAGAAATTTTTTCATATTTTCTCTCAAACTGAGAATTGTACTTTTAACTCTAGATTGGATATACCCATGTAAAGAAATAAAAATGAGGGCCTTTTAGTAACAGATAGGACAAAAGGCTCTCTAACCAACGATTTATTATTTTCTCTCAAACTGAGAATTGTACTTTTAACTCTAGATTGGATATACCCATGTAAAGAAGTAAAAATGAGGGCCTTTTAGTAACAGATAGGACAAAAGGCTCTCTAACCAACGATTTACGTCTTTATTGTGTCTGTCAGGTGGATTCTAAAATCTCTCTAGGAGTTGCAGGAATCCTGATTGTGTTGAGCTCGGTAGCATGCTCACTGGGCATCTTCAGTTTCATTGGGATCCCCCTGACTCTCATCGTGATTGAAGTCATCCCATTTCTGGTGCTGGCTGTTGGAGTGGACAACATCTTCATTCTGGTGCAGACTTACCAGGTATATTTTCCTATTCTCGTGGAGCTCAGTATCTGTCCAAGTACTGGGGTCTATTAATAGCTATTTGGCTCTGCATTTGTGTGTGGACAGTGAGGGGGCTTTGTTTCTTTCCCCCTGTGTGGTTCTTTGGTCTCCTTGACTTGTTCTGGACACTTTGGGACCAAGAATTTCATTGCTTCGTTTGGTTGGTAGGTTAGATATAAAGTGAGAATTTTGTTTTAAATAGTGTCTCTTTGACATGTGCAAGAAGGACTAACATGTTTTTAGAAAATATTTTGGGTATGACTGCTATTAAATGGATTCTGAGCATGATAGATTTGTTTTGTTCAGAGGTGCCACCAAGAAGGCAAAAGGTTAACATACAACCTGCTGATGTGGATCTCAATCAGTTGTCCTATAGCCCTTACCTGAGTGGAGACTCAATGGCATGTGAGAGTGTTATTTAATGGTCCAGCACCTGCAGCCTGTGTTCCATGTATTTTTCTGATAACATGATCCAGTCTTTGCTTCAGTTTCTCACCTGGTACCTGGCGCAGTGATTCAGAAATACTCTGAGTGAATTAACATGAGAACTTTCGGGTCCCCACCAAAGTTTCTAGGTTTACTGCTAATCATCTAATTGTTTTTCTTTACCATTGAGTTAACACAAGGTAGCAAAGAGTTGACATTGTTATTGAGAAATTTTAATGTCGCATGTTTAATTTTTTTTCATTTTAAGAGAGATGAACGTCTTCAAGGGGAAACTCTGGATCAACAACTAGGCAGGGTCCTAGGAGAAGTGGCTCCTAGTATGTTCCTGTCATCCTTTTCTGAGACTGTAGCATTTTTCTTAGGTAATTATGCTTTAAATTCTACCAATCCTTTAGTTTGCTGAGCTTTGGAAAAGAAGGAGCTGGGTATCTGAATATGCCCCTTTATGTTGCTTCCTTTTTTAAATAAGCTTTATTCTACAGTTGCAAAGTACCACTGGGTGGACCACCAGAAGAACTGATAGCAGGATCTTGTGTATTATTTTGCAAGTGTCTTCTTTCTCATGCTAAGTTTCAGGACATTGTTGATGTTGGGGGTCAGGATGACAGAGACCTAGAGCTCATCTTGCCACTTCCCCCTTTTGGTACCCATGGCAAATGTTGATATTTGAAAGTGACATCCTTGCATACCCACAGAATCCTTCTCAACACAACACTGTGAGCAGCAGCTCCCAAGTGCACAGGCATTAGCTTGCAGGATGTTTAGCCATTGTTTTCATAGGCAGTCCTCCTCTGTGCACACAACTCACTAGGGAAGCAGCCTCATTAATGATCAGAGGGTCTTGAATCTTACCTCAATACAATGAGCCAGAATAATCTGGAGCAAAAATCTGCACTTCTGTATTTCTTTCATATGGAGAAATCAACAAATAGCCTCACTAGTGAGGCTGTCTGCCCCATCTGAAGTGTAGTAAGAGAAAAATGACTCTGTCCTCTGTAGAAGAGACGGGATTAGAATCACACAGTAAGTCCAAAGAAGACACGCAATCAGTGGGTCAGAAACTGAAATGCTTACACGGGCCACCAGGTCCTCTTACACAGAGCCATTGTTAAGATCATCATAGGTGGTAGTCTTTCTATACAGACACAAACAATTATTTTTTCTTTTTACCTCTGTTGTAAGAAAACCAGTGCAAGTGTGATGATAAGAGCAGTTGAGACTTCAAGGTTGGAGTGACCTTGGCAGGACAGTAGGAGTCCTGAGGACTGGGGACTGTGGCACCCTGAGTGTGTGTGTCCCATCTAGTAAGGTAGTTACGTGTCCGGCCCAGTGCTAACTACGTCTGTTGGATTGTTTTTGTTTTTTTCAAGCAAAGCTGTGAATCCAGTTTTTTGTATAAAATATCGTTGTTAAATATTGGCTACTTATAAAAAAAAGTTTTTGAATTCTAAAGTGGGTCAATATAGTGTGAGCCAAACAGGATACATCTGATTCAGAGGCTGCCAGTTTGCAGTTTTCTGAGTCTTACTCTCATACCTCTGATCCTCATTTGATTGTGAATTGCCTCCTACCGTAATTAAACCGAGAGGCTAATATTGTTTATATAGTAGCAGAAAATAGGCTCCCTTTCTTTGAGTGACGTGTAGAAGATACTGTAAAAAAATGGCCTATATTAGTGGTTCTCAAATTTTAATATGTGTAAATTTGCCCAAGAGCTTGTTAAATATAGTAGAATTGGGGTTGGATTCCCACTTGCCTTGGTTAAGCATGATGGAGCCCAGGAAGCTACGTTTTTGACTTCCCAAGTGGTCTGAACTTAAAACCACCAGGCTCATAGACCCCTCTTGCGGGTCTGGTGTGACATCCACGCAGACTTTGCAGCATTCTTTCTCGTGGGTTCGGCCTGTCCTGGTCCCTTATTTCTGTATGTACATGCGAATGTAAGACTTTTGCACAGAGTCCTCTGCTGTAAAGCGAACTGACACAGAGCTTCTCTGTCCCTCGTAGGAGCATTGTCAGTGATGCCAGCCGTCCACACGTTCTCTCTGTTCGCGGGCATGGCAGTCTTCATTGACTTTCTTCTTCAGATTACCTGCTTTGTGAGCCTCTTGGGGTTAGACATTAAACGTCAAGAGGTAAGTTGTTGTCGGGATTATAATCTATTTAATTTGAGTCTAGAGTCTAGAACGCAGCCAGAGGGAGTTCTCTGTGACCTTTGTTGCTCTTTGTCCCTTCAGAAAAACCGGCTGGACATCCTTTGCTGCATTGGAGGCACCGAAGATGGACCGAGCATCCAGGCCTCAGAGAACCGCTTGTTTCGCTTCTTCAAAAACTACTATTCTCCACTTCTGCTGAAGGACTGGATGCGGCCACTTGTGGTATGAACTTGCTTGTGGTTTTCAGATTGTCACATGCCTTCTAAGAAACCAGACAGCTTGGGAAGGAGACGCTGACGGCTGTGAAATATATATACAAAAATGGAAAAGCAAGTATTTGTAAATAGTTCAGATCTTTTTCTAGTGAGATTTATATCAGTCAGTACATGCAAGAGGTTTTTTTTGTTTTAAATTTTTATTTTGAAATAATTATAGATTCACAGAAAGTTGCAAAGGTAGTACAGAAGAGACCGGGGTTCCCTTTACCCAGTTTCCTCCAGTGGTACATCTTATATAGTGATAGTGCTGTATCAAAACCAGGAATCTAACGTTGGCACAGTGTGTGTATATAGTTCTTTGTCATTTTATCACATGTGCAGATTCTTGTAACCACCACTGCAATTAAGATACAGGACTATTTTATCTCCACACAGATCTACTTTCCACTACCCCTTATAGTATCACCCACCTCCCTCCCCCCACCATCCCTGGTCCCTAGCAACCACGCAGGAGCCTTTTATAGTTTATATACCAATGTAGCCAACAGTGATCATCTATCATGTCTCTACTAAAAGAACATAAATTAGTATCCAATAATAGTAAGTAATAATACTTAACATTTATTGAACACTTAGTATCAGTTGGGTACTGTGCTAAAATCTGGATTATCCCTGGATTTTCTCCTTTAATTCACACAGCTATCTGATGTAATAAGTTTATTTTTTTCTGTTTTACTGGTGAGAAAATAGAAGATAAGAGAAATTAAGTGACTTGCCCGAAGTCATTCAGCTCATAAGTATCAGAGTCAGGATTTGAACCGAGAACTTTGACTCTGGATACTGTGATCTCAGCCACTATCCCATATTCCCTGTTGTCTTATCATGTCATTTAAACTTGCTTTTCAGTTAGAAAAGTCCTCTTTTTTGTGTGTGTTTAAGATTTTATTTCTATTCTTAAGCTCATTATTACACTAAGCAATCACTGTCTTATAATTCTCTTTGCATTCCAGATAGCGATCTTTGTAGGTACTCTGTCATTCAGTATTGCAGTCCTGAACAAAGTAGAAATTGGATTGGATCAGTCTCTTTCAATGCCAGATGTAAGATGTTTGCTTTTTTGTTTTAACTTGTTTAACTGGTGATGAATAAATATTTCAAAACATGCATGCGGGTGTTTCAAGCTAGTGCCTGCTTCTAAATGCAAATGGTTAAGGGGTCTGTGTGTGATGAAAACTGCTGCAAAGCTCTGCTAGTGTGGGCCTCGTTGGCATTCTGGACACTCAGACCACCCTCTGGGGCACAGCCACAAAAGGCGAACAGCCAGTCTTACAAGGTGCCCTCCTGACTGTGGGACTATCAGGAGGAGGACGCTGGGCCCAGGGAAGACAGGCTGGGCAGGGAATCACGAGTCTGGGCTGGAGGCACCTCCCGGTGCCCTCTTAATTCCTAGTGCTCCTCCTCTCACTTAGTTATGAGCAGACGTTCATACTCTCTCCTGCTCTTTGATTCCCTCTCAGGACTCCTACGTGGTGGATTATTTCAAGTCCCTCAGTCAGTACGGGCATGCGGGCCCGCCTGTATACTTTGTCCTGGAGGAAGGGCACGATTACAGATCTCTGAAAGGGCAGAACATGGTGTGCGGTGGCGTGGGCTGCGACAACGACTCCCTGGTGCAGCAGCTCTTCAGCGCAGCGCAGCTGGACAACTAGTTAGTATCTGTCTTTGCCCTGGGCTTCGGCACGGGCAGACGGCAGGGGCCCTCGGCGAGGCTGCTCAGGCCTGCAAGTGCTCTCTGAAATAACAGATTTTTGTGGGAAAGTTGTTTTTATTCAAAATGTTTTTTAAATCTAGCTTTACCTTAACAAAACCTTTTAAAGGACTAATTTGCCACCTAGTACTTTGAAGACCTTTTTTTAAGTGCTAATGTAGTTTTTCTTTTGACTGGTTACGATATAAAATGTAGAAAAGGAAGTTAGACTTCAAGAAAAAGAACTGAAACTAAAGACTTCTTCCTGTGGAGCAAGTCAGTAATTTTTATTCTCCTTTTCTTTAGTACCCGAATAGGCTTTGCTCCCTCATCCTGGATTGATGATTATTTTGATTGGGTTAAACCACAGTCGTCTTGCTGTAGAGTCTACAATGTCACTGGCCAGTTCTGCAATGCTTCAGGTACTTTAATCTCCTTTTTCATATATTTCCCTTTTTTATTAAGAATTTTAACTTTATCATATAAAAATCATTTGAAGTTCACCTCAGTTATACCCGTTTATATTCCAGTGCAGGGTCTCATTCCCTTTGTCATTATCTTTTTCCTCTGTCATTCACTATGAAAAATGACACATTGTGGGGCCGGCCCCATGGCTCACTTGGGAGAGTGCGGTGCTGGGAGCTCCGAGGCCGCGTGTTCGGATCCTATATAGTGATAGCTGGTGCACTCACTGGCTGAGTGTGGTGCGGACCACCCCATGCTGAGGGTTGCAATCCCCTTACTGGTCAAAAAAAAAAAAAAATGCATTGTGCCCACCTCAGGCAGACCCTGTTGGGCTACAGGATGAACAAGGGCCATGTCAGGGGACTCTGGTTTATAGTAAGGCTTCTCATCTTGTCCTGACTATGCCGATTGCCTCTCCTGATTGGTATCTGGCCTTAGCTTTCTTTATCACTGTTACTCTATGGCTTGGTAAGAGTGTTGAGGTTGTCCTGGAACTTTCTTAATAGAAACATGGAAGCCCTGGTTTCTGATAATACCAGTCAAGGTCATCCTTGAAGGAGGAAACCTACTTCAGGGAAGAAAATGTTGTATAATCTGCCTAAGATGAAAATGACATTTCAGATTTATTAAACTAGGGAAGTCACGTGTGAAACTTTTGGATAAGGGGAAAGATTCAAGAAAAATGATTTTCCTTATCAGTATTTAAAAACAATTTTTTTTTTTTTTTAATCTGGAGACTCGTTCTAACAATTGGCTCCTCTCTCTGGTCCTGCTAGTGGTCAACCCTGCCTGTGTCCACTGCAGGCCCCTGACTCCAGAGGGCAAGCAGAGGCCTCAGGGTGGCGACTTCCTGCGATTCCTGCCCATGTTTCTTTCTGACAACCCTAACCCCAAGTGTGGCAAAGGGTAAGTGCCACTGAGCCATGTCACGTGAGTGTCCACTTCTACTTTAATGCATACAGAAAACGAGGAGAGGACTGGGGTAAAGGCGGTTGCATGAGAAAGGTCCTTTTCCCTATGCACCCCACCCTGTCCCTGTCCTTTTGTGAAAGTACAGAAACCTAAAACACCTTTTAAAGAAAACTCGTCATAGTTCTCCTGATTTCATCCTAGCTGGGGCTTCGTTTCTTATGCTTTTCTCTGTGTCCTGGTCCCCTGCATGTATGAATGGGTGCAGATACCCATGCACATTACTGGGGGTGGTGGGGGGTGAATACTCAGGTAACTCAGAACACAAGGGAACTGGGTCTGTTCAGTTACGCTGATGGCAGATAGGACAGCATCTTTCATAATGTTATCCAGATTAGGGTTTAGATTCTTCTAGCCTTACCATGCTCTTGCCAGCCTGTCTGTGACGGAGGGGCTATCTCACTTCCCCGTCCAGCCAGGCAGCTAGTCACCCATGGAAGCAGGATGATCTGTCCCGGGAATGGTGAAGATGAGTATCCACATCATGTCTGTGAGGTAAACCCTGGACATACCTATTTTTCATAAGAACACATATTTGACCAGAGTCATCAGTTAATCATATATCAGATTTTTTTGTGGGTTTTTTGGCACCTGACCAGTACAGGGATTGAACCCTGGACCTTGGTGTTATCAGCACCACGCCTTAACCAATGGAGCTAACTGGCCAGCCCATATCAGTTAGTCGTATATATCATCTGTTTTGTGACCTGTATCAGGTACCGAGGGAAGACTATCCCTAAAAATAAAATAGAAATGAGTCTTGCAACGTGGTTTGCTCACAGACTGAATGCGTTGGCCTATGTAAAACAAGTGCAAGCGGATTCAATTTTTATGAAGGCAACGGCCACACTATTCCTGGGGAGCCTCCAGCGTGTCTGTGTTATGCAGGCACCTCGCTGACATTATTTCATTTGTCAGCATGGGCCTGCGTGTATGTGGGGTGTACACATTTACAGAAGAGGAGACTGGAGCTCAGGCTGGGTGACCTTGCCCAGGCCTACATGGTTGACAAGTGGCAGGGCTGAGATTGAGTGCCAGGCCCCTGCCTGTTCCTGCTCCAGTTACACAACAGCACTGAGTGAACTCTGTATGAGAGCCTGTTTGGTTATAAGCAGACCCACATAGAGAAACAGTAGCAGCCAAACCCAAAGAAACCAGTGCAATTAAGAAAAGCCAGCCAGGGAGAGAATAAGCTGAAGCCTTCAGCGTTCCCTTATCAGGAGCCTTCATCATCCCTGAAATGTCCAATTGGGTCTGACCACCAAGCCCAGCATCAGGTGACACCACTTAGCCTCGAATGTCCAGATTCTGCCGGCATCTCGCAAGGCCTGGCCTTTGTAACACCCACTGACTCTTCTCTCAGGGGACATGCTGCTTACAGTTCGGCAGTTAACATCCTTGGCAATGACACTGGAGTTGGAGCCACATACTTCATGACCTACCACACCGTGCTGCAGACCTCCACTGACTTCATTGATGCCATGAAAAAAGCCCGACTTGTAGCCAGTAACATCACCGAAGCCATGGGTGTTAAAGGCAGTAATTATCGTGTGTTCCCGTACAGGTAAAACATGGATTGTATAAACAAGGGCTTCCTACTCCTTGGGGCGCTCCCTTGGTGGGATGCTGATGCTTGGTGTGGGTTCTGACACCTGCTCCATCTGAGTGCAGGTCAGTCTGTCAACAGCTGGGCACAGGGGCCAGACTCTTGAGCCCCTCCCCAGGGCTGAGGGCTGCAGACACAGAACTTGATCTGTGTGCTACCTCTCACCTGAATGACACACTGAAACAGCACAAGGCAGAGGGCAACAAGAGGCCTTAGAGAGCAGGCTTCACAGAGGGGGCCAAGCCGACATTCTCAGCCAGCAACCAATGGGTATCTCCTACTGCTGATTACATGGGATGGCGCCTTTATGTAGACTTTCTTTTTATACTGGGTTTTTTTTCCCTGGCAAGAAAAGCATTATGTGTGAAATACCAAATTTGGAAAATGTAGAATGATAGAAAAAACAAATGATCATTTTTCCCCTACCTCCATGATCTCACTTAAAGGAGAACAACCTGTTTTCTTTGAAAGAAGTTCTCGGAGTGTCCTAATTCCTGGGAAGAGTTGGTTAACTTTACCAAAAAAAAAAAGCATTTTTTCCCCAGGCCCTGTGCAGACCTAACTTGGCCTGAGGTAGTTCTCAGGATAGATGGAATACTCTATAAATGTCTGTAAACTGGCATAGACTGCGCTTATGAACAAAAACTTTATGTAACATGCATTTGGGTCATTATCAGGCCCTTCTTTGGCTGTTAGGTGGCCATCCAAGATCTGAGTGGATTACTAAAGTCTTTCAAACAAACAGGGAGGGTTTCTGCAAGGGATGTCTCAGAGTAGTTTCGGCAAAGCCGAGCATCAGGAAGTGAGAGCAAGATTTAATGGGGTTTTCTCCCCTCCTCTCCAGCGTGTTTTATGTCTTCTACGAACAGTACTTGACCATTATTGAAGACACGATCTTTAACCTTGGCGTGTCACTGGGAGCGATATTTTTGGTGACCACGGTCCTTCTGGGCTGTGAGCTGTGGTCTGCTGTCATCATGTGTGCCACCATCGCCATGATCGTGGTCAACATGTTTGGAGTCATGTGGCTGTGGGGCATCAGTCTGAACGCAGTTTCCTTAGTCAACTTGGTGATGGTGAGTCCTAGTCCACTCTGTTTGTCCCTGGTTCCCATGTTGCTTACATGAGCGGTTTCTTGGATTCCATATAAACCCTAAATGGGGTGAAATACTAAGTCTGGCTCTTGCTCTTGGGTCATATGGAGAGGTGGGATGAGTGGTAGATGGAGTCAGCACAGGGCATGGAAGGAGTGTTCAAGGGGACATCTGGGAGCAGAAGCACATTAAGGGTAATTTCTGTTCAGTTTTTTTCTGTTATCCATTTACTTGTAGCTACAGTAGTATGGTTTATGGTGCATATAACAATGGAAATGTGACTTCAAGGTTTAGTTTGAGTATTCTGTCTTTATTCTTCCGAAGGGACTGCAAAAACATGTAGCCTAACGACAGCAAGTTGTTCGCTTTAGAAAATGGCGTCCCTGTCCCGTCCCCTACTGATAGGGCTCTCATGCACTTGCCACGTGCTTTTCAGTAGTTAAAGTCTTAAAGACGTGAGTGCTCGAGAAGGTATTAATGGGAGTAGGAACAGTGCACCTCATGTAGCCTAACGACAGCAAGTTGTTCGCTTTAGAAAATGGCGTCCCTGTCCCGTCCCCTATTGATAGGGCTCTCATGCACTTGCCACGTGCTTTTCAGTAGTTAAAGTCTTAAAGACGTGAGTGCTCGAGAAGGTATTAATGGGAGTAGGAACAGTGCACCTGTACTTGCAGATGTGAATGCTGCTTCAGGTGGAGTGGTGGCAAGGCCCAAGTGCAGAGGTAATGACAGTGTGCTGGCTTGGTGAGGGCAGGGCTCCTTAAGAGGTTTCAACAACTTCCCCTAGTAAAAGCAAATACACTGTGGAAAACTGGGCTCTGTGCCCAGAGGGTTCCAAAAGTTGCCTGCTACAGTTTAGGTTGCTGTGAGCTGGCCCTTTGCATTATGAATGAAAGGGGATGCGTCAGGCTCCTCTAGCACCGTCCAGGGAAGGGATGGCTGCTTAGGATTTTCAACTAGGAAAGAGCCATCCTAAAGGAAGCACTTTCTTTCAGAGCTGTGGCATCTCCGTGGAGTTCTGCAGCCACATAACAAGAGCGTTCACAGTGAGCCTGAGAGGAAACCGTGTGGACCGCGCAGAGGAGGCGCTCGCTCACATGGGCAGCTCTGTGAGTGTCCCGAGCAGGACAGTGGGGCTTAACTGGCAAATGGAGCTCCATGACTGTCTCTCAGAAAAAGAAACTTTAAAATTAGAAGGCAAAACAGAATTTAGATCCTTTACTTAGCAGCTCCCGAGGATTACAAACTATCAGGCAGTTCATGAAGTAGCATTATACAGACCTGAAATTCTGTAAACTGTACCTGTTTGTGTGGATTATTTTTAGACAGCATTATGGCTGAAGCAGGAAAATAACAAAAAGTTAGATTTGAGAGACGTGGAAGTCTTCCATTTAAAATATAGGGCAGCATGATGTGTTGAAAGGCAGGGGCGTTACCGCGTTCCACAGCCCAACGTGTAACCTGTAGTTGGTGCCTGGGGAGACTTCTTAGTCCAATTCTGCGTCCTGGTTTCGCCTATCAGTAGTAACCTTAGGACTAAAGAAAATATTGTTAAAGAATAAACACTAAAACTTTTTGTTCTATAACAATTTTAGGCACTTAAAATAGTTTTCATCTGAGAATATTAAACAAAAAATTTGCTTTAGAGACACAATATAGTGTCTATGCAGAATACACAGCTTTTTCCTTTATAATACCCTTTCCTTACCCACCCACACCCAGGCCCATAAAGCAGCAAATACAACAATTTTAGGTAAAATATCATGTTATTTCTCAGTTATTCTGAAAGCGAGGGTTCAGTTTCAATGTGGACCTTGGATATTAAGAAATCCGTGTGTGAGGCAGTGTTCAGTTATAACAGCCCGATGAAGTGGTTTCTAACACTGTCTCTTCTCTTAGGTATTCAGTGGAATCACACTTACAAAATTTGGAGGGATAGTGGTGTTGGCCTTTGCCAAATCTCAAATTTTCCAGATATTTTACTTCAGAATGTATTTAGCCATGGTCTTACTGGGAGCCACCCATGGCCTGATATTCCTCCCCGTCATACTCAGTTACATAGGTAAGAGTTCTCGTTTTTAACAGGTGGCATGGGAGAAAGCACGTTACTAAAAGGGAACGCCATCATGAAGCATTCCTTTGAAGTATTTGAAGTTGTAGTAATGGTCATTTGATAAATAGACATCAAGATTGTCCAAACTCCTTCATTAGTAAATTGCTCCGTTTTTTTCTGGAGGCCTGACGTCAGGCCGTGAGTGAATTTGAACATCAGCAGGTCCGGTGGCTCCTCCTTGCTACCGAGAGATGAATGAGCCAATGGCCAGCCAGGCCACAGCAGCGCTACAGAGCGGCTTTGTATCCCCTCATTCATTTACTGTCCTCAGCAGGACGCTGCCTTGCCACTCATCTCCTGACACTAGCCTTATGATTTTTTTTTTTACTTCTGCAGCTACTTCAGTTTGCACAAGTGACCATGGTTGAAAGGAGAACAATACTAATTTGCTTGATTAGCTTTGTAACTAAGTTGAAGCACTGGAATAGAAGATTGAGAAAATGAGGGGCTTTTTTCCATCTCTGGGGGATTAGAAACTAGTTCTGTTACATCCAGTATAAATGAGCTCCTGAAAAAATAACAAAAATTCTTTTTCTCTCATAGGACCATCTATAAATAAAGCCAAAAGTTGTGCCACTGAAGATCGATACAAAGGTACAGAGCGAGAACGACTCCTAAATTTCTAGCCCTCTTCCAGGGTTTGGTGACTCTGAACTGTAGCTAAGGGTCAGTTTACCACTAGGTAGTAGCTGCGTTGTCAAGGCTGAGCTGAACACTGGATGTTACCAAACATCAGGCTATTTGACAGTAGCGTCTTCGGACAGAGCTTTTAAAGTCAGGATGCACATCTGACTTGTGACGCAGTATTACTAAATCTGAAGACATCCACAGGACACTAGAGCCTCTCCCAGCTTCTTCAGGAAAGAAGCCTTATTCTTTGATAAGGGGAAGGTGACACTAGGATGGCTGTGACTGTGATCTGCTCGTGACACCTTTTAGGGCCAATGAAGGCACTCTTTTTTTTTTAGGTATAAGCCATCACACAAGTTCTATACCATATTTTTAGAAACATTTGAGAATGCTGTAGATAAACTTTATTACAACATTTTGTAGTTTAAAGAGCTTTATTAATGCAATAAATTAACTTTGTACACATTTTTATAAAAAAAAAAAAAAATAGCAGATGGCTTCAGAACGTTGTAGGCCTCATTAGAGCTTGGTCTCCAAAAACCTGTTTGAAAAAGGCAACATGTTCTTCACAGTGTTCGCCTATAAAGGAAAATATAAATTGAATCACCAATTAGATGTGGCATGAAAAGAGAGGGAAACAGAGAATGCAGCTCAAAAGTGTGTATACTAGGTTTTAACTTATTTTTCTTTAATAAAATACTTTGTTTTCCTAAGCTTTTTGGTTGCCCTTCCTATTGCAAAACTGGTACCTTCACAACCCTAGCAAATTACCATTTGCTCTGAGAAACAAAGATTCTAACCTGTCATTATGGTAACTAAGTCATCGTGCACTGTGCAGTAATTAAGCTAGAAGAAAGCAGCCAACCTAAAATAAAGTCAAACTTAGTTTGACAAAAGGGTTCTGTTCCTTCCCCATCCTAAAGAAGATGTCTTTGATTTTATTACTATTTGGAGATAAACATGATTAGCCAGTGTTTTCCTGCCTAAAACTAAAGCATTGCTTTAATAAGCCCCAGGCCATGTAAAACCCTAAGTCACTGTTTGCTGTTTTAGTCTTGATTCTTCAAAAGGGATATTCCAAGATCAGCTGTCAGACATGGGCTGTGTCCAAACTGCCTCAATGTCTGTCTCTCAACCCAAAACACACCTCCATCGAGTTTCAGAGCATAACTCAGATTCCATCTCAATATACTCTACTACATACTACAAATAATGGGCTAAGGGCTAGGCAGGCTGTTATGAAATTTTATTTAAAGAAAAGATAATCCAGGAGTCGTCCTTACTAGAAGGCTTCTCGCCCACCAGCGCACTATTTGAGTCTGTGATTACCCCAAGTCTTTTCATTGCTACGGTACTCTCACCTGGTGTGAAATTAGGGTTCCCTCGCAAACGCTGGTTTCGCTGTTCAAAAAAACGGAATATAGTATAGAAAAGCATGTTATCTTCCGTCTGCTTTGCAGCATCTAAAAATTTTCGTGCAGAAATGTTGTCATGGCCACCAATGCCCCGGATAAACCTTAAGGCAGCTAACACTTGGTGTTTGGAAAGAAGAACTTCCACTATTTCATCATTTGCCGTTGAAAGTCGCTAGAAGTAAGGGAGGGAGAAGTCCAGGTAAATGCAAGCAGCGGGAACTGACATTTATGTAGTCTAAAACTCTGATGTATCACTTACCTTCAGCATGTCCAGAGACAGCTGATGTGCAGGAGGATAGAAACTTTCTAGGGATAATAGCAGACAAGCCTGAAAGACAAATTTTCAGACTAGCTTCAGCAGAAAGGTTAAACTTTTAAGCTTTTAATCACAACAAAAGTCTGGTGACACATACCAAAGGTTTGGAGTCACTGAGGACATGGTACTGTAGGAACTGATGCAGCATATAAAAAAGGTTGTGCTGGACAAGCGTTTTGATGACAAGTTCATGTAAGTAATGCTGAGGACAAAAGTAGAAAGAACATTTCCAAATTGTCCAACTACTCCAGACCAGAAGCTAGTTAAGGACTACAGCTCTTCTAACTGACAGGGGTAAACGTTCCAGTTATTACGAGAAGTGGTTTCAGTGTACAGGTGAAAGAACCCGACCTGACATGACACTTTTCATTCTAACTCAAAACAACATGGGAATGTTAGGAAAGTCACTCAAAATTGTGAGTCAGGGATGCAGACCCTTTTAGCATATAAAAGGGAGTCGTAAGTCAAGATATTGACGGGGCTTTTGTTTTTTTAAAAAAAAAATCCCTACTCCTTCAACTTGGGACCACAAATGCCAATCTGTAGGTACCTGTACTGTAATCTGGAACTGGTTAAGAGAGCGAATATACTCCATGAGCACAGCTATCTAAAAAAAAAATCCCTACTCCTTCAACTTGGGACCACAAATGCCAATCTGTAAGTACCTGTACTGTAATCTGGAACTGGTTAAGAGAGCGAATATACTCCATGAGCACAGCTATCACAAATTTATGAGGCATCTCCTAAGGAGAGAAAGAGTGGTTCTGTAAATGTCCAAGAGTGGTAAAAGGAGCTACACGTAACTCCTCGTTTATCTGCCCCCCCATCTTCTTCCCCTATTAAAATAAGCCCACTGTTCATGTTTCACTGTTTTGCACAAATCCCTCCAGAACGACCCCCACTGATAATTGTTTTAGGCCTGAGTATGAGAAGGCAAACTACCAGCACTATGTCCTCACCCAAGATAATTCTAGTTCCCCTAGTCCCATCAGGAGTTCTGTTCATTTTCTTCAACTCCCCTGTTTTGAGCACTCTACCTCGAGAAGAGGCTGAGAAGCTGCCACCCACCTTCTTTTCGGCAAACCCCGACAGCACGTGGGTGTACATGTCGGACTGGTCCAGCACTGCTTGGGTCCGCACAGGCCTCCTGAGAAGCGGGTTGCTTCGGCATTGCCCTGCTTCTACTGCCTAAAATAAGAAACCACACAGCGACCTTACTCATCTTCTAGAGACATAGTGCCGTTTACAGTTCATCCGAAGAGACTGAATTCCTAGATGTGAACCTAAAGGACGAACAGAAGACACTTATTCCACCACTGAGGTAAGACTATCCTTCCTGTGCTGGCTGGGGAAGAATTTAGGAAGTTGGTCATCTTGAAAATACTCCAGTGTTCATGCTGAATGGAACTAACAAAGCATAAGTCATAGTTTTCTCTTAAGATACATATTTTTTTAACTTCTTAAAATTTTTTAACTCTCTAATTTTCTTCACCTCAAACGATGTGGTTGTTACCTAATAAAAATGAAATGGCTTGCTGTTTCCAGGCTTTATGAAGCCCTGATGCCTATACTCAGTAAATGAATAAATATATCTTGCAGTAAGTCTACATGCAGATTCTTTTTAATTGAAACATAGTTGATTGTACATATCTGTGGGGTACCACGTTGAATATTGATACCCGAATGCAGTATGTGATGCTTGTCAAATCAGGGTAATTAGTATGTTCAACATTATACAAGGTAATCATTTTTTGTGGCCCTTTACCAATACTCACTAACCCCCTTTCCCCTCCCCACATCTGGCAGCCTTAGTTCTGTTCTCTCCTTTTGAAAGTTAAACGTATTATTGTGATTGTTGTATCTTTTTTTTAAGTTTTGTGGGGGTTGTTTTGGGGTTTTTTTTAGCTCCCACTTATGAGTGAGGACATGTATTTCTCTTTCTGTGCCTGGCTTATTTCACTTAACAATTTTCTCTAGATTCATCCATGTTGCTGCGAATGGCAGAATTTCATTCTTTTTTATGGCAGAGTAGTATTCCATTGAGTATATATACACCACATTTTCCTTATCCAGTCATCTGTCAATAGACATTTAGTTTGGGTCCAACTCTTGGCTACTGTAAATTGAGCTGTGATAAACATGGGAGTGCAGGTATCCCTTTGACATGATGATTTCCATTCCTTCGGGTACATACCCAGCAGCGGGACTGCTGGATCGGATGGCAGTTCTGACATTGTTTGAGGAATCTCCATACTGTTTTCCATAAATGGCTGCACTAATTTATAGTCCCAGCAACAGTGTAGGAGGGTTCCCCTTTCCCTGCATCCTTGCCAGCATTTGTTATTGTGTCTTTTTGATAACAGCCAGTCTAAGTGGGGTGAGGTGATATCTCAGTGTGGTTTTGGTTTGTATTTCCTGATGCTGAGTGATGTTGAGCCTTTTTTCATACGTATGTTGACAATTTGTATATCTTCCTTTCAGAAATGTCTATTCAGCTCCTTTCCCCATTTTTAAATCAGGTTACTTGTGTTTACTGTTAAGTTCTTTGAGTGTGGATTTTTAAATGGTAAGCCAGAGCTCTCCAAATATTGTTGAACAGGAAAGCTCTAGGAGAAGACCCTGACCACTTTACCTCATGTTTTAAAGCAATCTGGATCCATGCAGATGCTGCAGTGGCTGTGGGATGCAGCCTGAGAATCTGCATTTCTAAGAAGCTCCAGGTGCTGCCTGTGTTGCTAGCTGGTGGACCACACTCCTGAGAAGTGAGGATTTATGAGCTTTATAGCCGCAGTGTAGGAAAGCACAGGAACTGCCATATGGGATCAGACCTACTGATATCCACAGCACAGGACACCAGCAGCAGGAGCGAGAGGGGGTCTGATAGGACAGAGGTAGACACATGCTCCAGGCAACCAACCTTCCTCAGTAGCCTGTTCAGACCTCTTAGCCTTACTAGTTAAAGGGGAGTGGAACTCTGGGGTTTCTGTTGTCTAAAACCACTTCCACTTTTAGCCTTAGGACTAATTAGATCCTTGAAGTGAAATAATTCATTCCACTTGTCCTAAACTTTTCTTCTTTCTAGCTTGAGATGATACAATGCACTAATACTAGAGTAGAACCACGTAATAAGCTATGTTCATTTTTTTCTAGCCCTTCACCACAAACATTTGATGCCTACTAAATGAAAAGCACAGTGCTAATATTAATCATCACTATCTGAATAGGATGCTATACTAAATCCTAGGGTGTCTTATTTTTACAGTTATGACATCTTGAAAGGAAGAAAGTGTGGCAAATAATAGAATAGTCCAGGCTCTGGCCCCGCAGAAGGATGTATAAAATAATGCAAAGCTGAGACTGATTTTCTTACCTATTAGGTAGAGGTAGGCCCAGGATCTATCTTCTATGTGTAAGATCAAACATAGATTTAAAACACAAAAATTGGGAGGGCATTTAGTGAGAGGGCAGCTGTCACCACTCTCCCCACTACTGCCACCTTGCCATCTGCACACATGAAATCTCAGTGACGTTATTCCATCATAATCTTGCATTATAATTACTTAGAAAATATCCCGGGGAGGGGGAGAGGAGGAGCCCGCATC